TAGCTTTTGACAGTGAAAAATTTTGACAGCCCATACCATATCAATTTTCATACTTTTGATACTTCACTACTATTTATTTAAGTTATTACATTTTTAAAACGAACTTATGAAAAAACTAAAAAAAAGCGTAAGAATTTTCAAATAATTTTATAAACCTATTTTTTTAAAGATATATGTGTAACCTATTTATATTATTATAATTAATAAGTAACTGTAAGCAAAATATAAAACTTTCCATTTGTTGATAGATGGCAGTGTTTTGAAAACTTAAACGTAGATCGTCGGCTCATAATAGACAAAAAATGTATTCTAAGATTGTCGGCGTGGTTTCAAATTATTACACAAAGGTTCCAAAAAATTTTAAACTTTATTTAAAAATATTCTATTTATTTGAAAAAAAAAAACACCTGTCATCCCGATTATAATTTATATAATCATACATAATATAATATTAACTCAATTAATAATACTTAACCTTCTTTTTTGAAGTTCCTTTACCGGATTAAAAGTTTGCCTATAAGTTGCCCCGAGTTGCTACCTACCTACATATAAAATTTCATGGAAATCGGTCCAGAAGTTTTCCGTGAATCGTGAACACACAGACAGACAGACAGACAAATATTCTAAAAACCATTAACTTTGCTTCAGTACTAGGTAAGCGTACCCTTTACTTAGCTCCCTGGACTTGTTTTTCTGCCGACTTCCAAAAAGGAGCCGGTACTCAATTCGACTGTATGTTTTTTTTTTTCGTTTTTTTTTTATGTGTGTTACCTCAGAACTTTTTTCTGGGTGAACCGATTTCGATGATTCTTTTTTTATTTGAAAGCTGGTACTTCTCGTGTGTATGAATTTGATCAAGGTCAGACCAATAGTTTTTAAGTTATTCTTAAATAACTAATATTGAAGTCGGCTGTACAAAATTTTTAATTTTAAATTATATTATTCAAGAATATATTAAAATGACAGACACGAGTTCTCTACAGTAGTGTTCTCCAAATGCAAGAACGAGACGAGACTTAGAAAGTCTTGGTCTTGGTCTTGCGCCAATACACCTAGTCTTGGACTTGGTCTCGGTATTGTGCTCCCAGTCTTGGTCTTGGTCTTGGCCTTGCAGCAAGAGTCTCGCAAGTCTCGCAATGACCTATTAGCCTATTACTTCCGAGCTGGCGGCTATGAGTTTTTTTGGTACTCCTCCAACCCGTTAATAACTAAGCCTTGAAGACAAGATCCAGATCCATTTTTACAAATTTCAAGTGTTTTACAAGTGTCTACAATATTTATCAAATATTCGAGAACTTTGTGTTTTAAAACCACACACTTCCAAAAGTCGAGATTTGCAGTGAATTTATTGAACATGTTTATCTATTAGGTAATAATTATAATAATAATACTAATACTAAGTAATAATTATAAACCCATATAGTTAATATTATAATAATTACTAACTAGAATAAATTATTATGATATCTATCTATCATTACCATTATCTTATTACAATATTCCTTGCCAGATCAGCATAATGTATTCGTGTCCATTCTGAGCACCCGGAAACTTATTTTATTCTTTGGAACATGTACTCTGTGGCGGCATTCAAACAGTGTCAAATGTAGTGAGTGCGGCGCGGTGGCGACGATTGTATGCGATATCAATAGCAGCCGCCGTGTATCTTGACCTTGTACTTTCGAATAGCTGCACAATTTTTTTTACAGGTTAGTATCCGACCTTTGATGACGCCAACAACAAGACGCACTATCAAAGTGCCGTTGGTCATAACTAGGGATGCACTCTTTTTCTTTTAGTGGATATTTTCATTCGCTATGTATGTTTATTATATTGTTCGCAATGCGCATAAGTAAAATTTTCCATTTTTTTAATAATATTTTTTGCGTCTCATAGAGTCTATAAGCGAATACCCGAACTCCTATACTCCCTGAAACGATACTCAGTCCTAGCTGCAAGACGTAAGGGTCTCGCAAGCTTAGTTTTGTTCTTGCGCAAATCTTGCACGGTCAGTCTTGGTCTTGCTAAAAATAGGCGGTCTTGTTCTTGGTCTTGGTCTTACAAAAATGCAAGAACAAGACCAAGACTGCAAGACCAAGACTGATTTTAGGCAACACCACATATTTATCTAACTAGATATTGTTTACCTCATTTTATGTTTTTTAAATATATATAATAAATATTTTATTCTATGGAGCACAAATGTATATAAGATATTTTTATGATCGTATTTAATTTTATCTTTAGTTTTCATGCAATAAATATTTTATTTGGATTTTATTTGAAATAAAACATATGGTTTTTAGGCAGAACAGTGAGCAAGCCTTGTTGGCTGATTAAAATTTAAATATCTATGCTAAATCTATATGGTAGAGCCACGCTGCGGCTATATTATGGTTGTAGGACGAATGGGCCTCCTCAACGTGGGAAGGACCACGCTCTCACAGAATACCAGTGTAAAATAGCAGCTTTATGCTGCTGAATAGAATAGAATAGAATGATTTTTATTCAATACGGATTATTACATAATACTTATTGAAAGTCATTATTTTATTTACCACTGGTTCGGAAAATACCTCTGTCCTGGGAAGAACCAGCAAGAAACCCAGCGGGACTTTTTTTTAAACATAATTTCACTTAACAATAATTTTGTTTATACAATTTTAAATGAATTTTCATAGAAACAGCATGGTGGCGATCACCTTATTCCCAGGGGCTATTTTCATTCATGTATTCCTTGATATTATAATAACCCTTTTTGTACAGCTGTTCTTTAATAAAACTTTTAAACTTGTTTATTGACAAACTTTGAACATGTTCTGGGATTTTGTTGTAAAAGCGTATACATTGCCCCATAAATGAATTACTAATTCTGTAGAATCTAGTAAGTGGCATTACAAGCTTATGTTGGTTTCTAGTGTTTAAGGTATGAACATCCTTATTCTTATTAAAGCTATTTATGTTTTTATGTACATACATTACATTTTCATAAATATATTGCGATGCCAAAGTTAATATGTTTATTTCTTTAAATTTTTCTCTGAGAGAATCTTTACAATTTAGATTATAAATTGCCCATACGGCTCTCTTTTGCAAAACAAATATAGCTTCAATATCAGTCGCATTACCCCATAGCAAAATTCCACGCTATGAAAGTAACTAAAATACACTAACCTGGCTGTCTCAACATCTGTGAGACTTCTAAACTTTCTTACAGCATATGCTGCAGAACTAAGTCTGCTTGCTAATTAAGATATGTGGGGGCCCCATTGAAGTTTCGCATCAATAGTAATACCGAGAAAAACAGTGGTATCCACAAGACTTAATTCCTCCCCATTTAAGAGCACATTGGTCTGTGTTTCGTATGGTGGGTATAGAGAAATGGAGACCATTTTTACAGGAAACGACGCATGATTCTTAATCGAGATTAACTGTAGATATCTATAGGCTACAGCATTCACTTTCCATCAGGTTGAATGTGTGCTCGTTTGTCACTCATATACTATAAAATATAAAAAATACAGTGGTCCCTCGGTAATCCGGCCCTCTTGTAATCCGACATGCCTTTGACATCTAGTTACAATCGAGTCACGTTATGAATCCGCCATTGGAAGAGGTGTCTTCCAAAAATAAAGGGATGAACAGGCTGCAATTAGTTCTCGGCACCACGAATATAGCTTGACGCGAATTGTCTTAGTTTAAATAAGATTGGTTGCGGCCTAGCGGCAATTCATTTTTTACTGTTTAGGTATTCATTGTGCATCACATGACTTTTTATTTTTTATTATTTTTAAATTAATATGTAATTTTTCTAATTATAAAGTACTTTACCACGTGCTCGGTGGCGAAGAAAAAATCGTGAGCAAACCTGCGACATGCGTCTGAAAAAATAAGAAAAAAATATTTCAAAAACATATGAAGTTCACCGCTCAAGAACACCGCTTGGGGTAGCGTGGTGGACATTTCCTTGTCCTAAAACGCTCTCATAAATGAAGGGAGGTCTGTGCCCAGCAGTGGAACGTATGTAGTATATGCTGTAACTTTAATAAGGTACTTATTTTCAAATAGTTCCTGATTAACAGCCGATTGTAGCAGTACTCTATAGTCAGACAAATTTGATAATTCGAAACCGCCTTACAAAACGTTTGTTACGGAACAACTGTATAACTTAGACCCATTTTACCGGAAAAGATGCATTCCATCTTAGTCCTCACGGGTGATAAAGCATCTGCATTTTGATTCGCTACCACTTACCATCAGTTAGACTGTGTGCTCTTTTGTCACCTATCTTAAGAAAAATAAAATTTATTTTATCATAATTCCGACTTCAATTAAAACTAGTAATTGGTTCTTTGTTGTACTTTATCATCCTGCACAGTTCCTCAGCTATACATATACCGTTCCCATTATAGGAGGGATTTAGCCTTGGCAGGCGGATTGACGATCGCATCCCCAGACGTCTCGCACCTTTGACACTGTTGTCGTTAACCTTTCTTCGAGAAATTATATTGATACAAATATTTCAATATTTTTAAAATAAAAAAATAATGCTTAAATTTCTTCAGCTGGCAATGAACATTGGATAATCCAAGCGCTGCCACTATCAGCTTTTTGAAATACTTTAACTATTTTCCGACCAACTACTGCAAGTCGTCTGCAAAAAGGGTAAGTAAATCATCTCTTATGTTACTGGAAGAAAGTAAATTTTTTTAGTTACTTCCGGAGAAATAGTTAACACACTGACGCGGGTTTCCTCAAAGTTAGAATGTTCTAAAGATATTGAATAATCCAAAACACCAAATTTGGTTTCATTATAAAATGGTGCACATGGTGTTATTCTATATCCGTATATAGAGGACACATTAATAAATGTGCCACCATTGCTTTGTTTATCCGTCCTCATGTATTCATAAAACTTTTCTGTATAAGCAATCATAGCTATTAGATTAATTTCAATTGTTTTGAAATAAGATGTTTCGTCATCTGTCCAGCGTTATTAACTAAGACATTCTCAATTTCAACTTCGTCAAATTTGTTGAAGATTTTTGTGCAACTGATTCTAGATCAGATACTACATCACATTTGATAAAATCTTCTATACTATCTCCGTGTTTATCGTTCAAAGATTTCTCCACCATAAATCCCTTATCTTCGTTGATGTCAAGTATAATAACAAGCTTTGCTCCTTTTAGGAGAAAATTTCCAACAATTTCATAACCAATTCCATTGACTGCCCCTGATAACACAACAGTTTTTCCATTCAATGTCTTATCCATTTTATCACAATAATAACTAAATGTTTTAAAGATAATTTTTATTTATATATTTTAAAATATGCAAAGATAATTTATCGCTAGAGCAAACAAGTTATCAGGAGACTATACAACATGTCTCGAAACTCAACGTCAAGCAAACACAAGCCGAGAGGAATGGTCATACCAACCCCAGGAAATTAAAAAAAAATCCATATCAGGCATGAGTTCAGTTATGACAAATTTATGAAAATGAGGAAAATCGACACCTTGTATCATATCATTAGGCCGCAAATTTCTCAATTTTACAGTGAGTTTTTTACTAAAGTTGTCGAAGTGGTGTAACAAAAAACTCCCTATATTTTATCCAACACGAATACTGAGAATTTTATTCCGCAATGGTCTTACCAATTAGACCTACTTGGTAAGAAATCCCAGTAATCTGACTTGTAATACTATTTGGTACGAGTAAGTCTATTCGACAGAAAATTTCTCAATAGTCTTACAGGTAAGACAACTAGGTATATCCCTTTTTTATTAGATGTGGTATTTATACATACACACAAATAGACTTTCATAATTTTCTACTCTCTCATAGTTGACCAATTTTGCTGAACGTTGTTTTATTTACCAATAGACTTTAATTTAACAGTAGACCCAAAAAACTATTGATAATTCCAATTGTGCATGCCTTTAGAGCATTAAAAAATTACGTATAACATGATAATATGTAGTTAAGTAGTTGAAATACACATAAGTTTTCAGTAATGCCCATCATCATCATGTCATCGTTCAGGTCACTCCATAAAGTTAAAGGCGTATTTAAGCATATTTATATATAAATTCTACTTAGTTTTAGTACGTAGCACTATTATTTGTTCTGAGCTTTTAAAATATTTTAATACAAATCTGAGATTGTAATAATAATCAAGTATGATTTAAATTTGTTTTTTTGAATATTTTGTATTGGTACAGCAATCTTTTGAGAACGAGCCACTGCAAACAACCGATGCAGTATCCACTTACGACAGCGGCGAAAACCGAAGTGAGTGAGTGAGGCAGTCTATTAAGTAAAATAAATTATTACAAAACTCAACTCAACAAATCAAAACATCAAAAATATGGAGATTTCTTGGCCGAAAAAATTACGTGCCCACCAGAAGAAACACATAAAATTGTCAAACATCCTAATAGATATGTGAAAATTCTATCGCAAAACATTCGTTCCATCAATTGTAACTTCTTAAGCTTACAAACTCTCATGCACCGCATCTCCTTTGATTGCGATCTGGTTGTCTTGACTGAATGTTGGTTACCATGCTCTAGTAACACTACTCTTCCTATCTTGCAAAATTATACCATATTCAAGACCACCAATCATAATAACCAAAGTGATGGTGTCGTGGTATATTTAAAGACGCACCTATTCGCTACATGCGAAGAACCAGCTACTGTTAGACGGGAGATGAAGCTACATTCTTCAACAGATTTGACAGCATACAGGCATCTGAACAGACAGATCTCTAAATGCATGCGGCGGGACTTACGCAACTTCAATACAGCTCGTATTGAAGAAGCGATTGAGCGGAACCAAGGCTCCAAAGTCTTTGCCAGAGATCTGTCTGCCAGAAAGAGCCAACTGTCAAAGCTGAAGACAGAATGTGGCAGCATCGTTTCCGGGACACCTGAGATTTTGAGTGAGACTGAGAGGTTCTATGGGCAGCTGTACACGTCATCGTTTGAGCCACACGCAAGTGTGAGTAACGATCCAAGAGCGAGTCTCATCCGACACTATTCCGAAGATATCCCGGACGTCAGTCTGAGCGAGATTAGAATGGCTCTCCAGCACCTTAAAAACGGTAAGGCCCCAGGCGAGGATGGAATTACAGCGGAGCTTCTGAAAGCGGGTGGAAGACCGGTACTTGAAGTCCTTCAGAAACTCTTTAATTCCGTCCTCCATGGTGGCATTACACCGGAGGCGTGGAGCAGAAGTGCGGTGGTCTTGTTCTTCAAGAAAGGTGACAACGCTCTCTTGAAGAACTACAGACCGATTTCCCTTCTGAGCCGCGTCTACGTGCTGTTTTCGAGAGTCATTACGAATCGTCTCGCGCGCGGACTTGACGACTTCCAGCCTCCCGAACAAGCCGGTTTCCGAAAGGGCTTTAGCACAATAGACCACATACATACCTTCGGCAAATTGTACAGAAGTCCGAAGAGTACAATTTGCCACTATGTCTGGCGTATGTGGACTATGAAAAAGCCTTTGATTCCGTCGAAATTTGGGCGGTGCTGCAGTCCCTTCAGCGGTGCCAAGTTGACTGTCGGTATATCGAAGTGTTGAAGTGCTTGTACAGTAGGGCTACGATGGCTATCCGCGTACAGAATCAGAGTACGAAACCTATCCAATTGCAGAGAGGTGTAAGACAGGGTGACGTCATATCCCCGAAACTCTTCACCGCTGCATTGGAAGACGTTTTCAAGCTTCTGGACTGGAAAGGATACGGTATCAACATCAATGGCGAGTACATCACTCACCTTCGATTTGCCGACGATATAGTCCTTATGGCAGAATCGCTGGAGGACCTAAGCTCAATGACCTCGATAGTGTTTCCCAACGGATAGGTCTTAAGATGAACATGGACAAAACAAAGATCATGTTCAATGTCCATGTCACACCTATGCCGGTAGTTGTTGGGAGCACTAAGCTCGAAGTTGTTGACGAGTATGTTTACCTGGGACAAATAGTCCGACTAGGTAAGTCCAACTTCGACCGAGATGTCAATCGACGGATTCAACTCGGCTGGGCAGCGTTTGGGAAGCTACGACACATCTTCTCGTCAGACATACCTCAAAACCTGAAAACGAAATTGTACAACCAGTGCGTGTTGCCAGTGATGACTTACGGAACTGAGACGTGGTCCTTCACTGCTGGCCGTATGAGGAAGCTCAAGGTCGCTCAGCGAGCTATGGAGAGGGCTATGCTCGGAGTTTCTCTGCGTGATAAACTTAGGAATGAGGATATCCGCAGTAGAACCAGAGTAACCGACATAACCCAACGGATTAGTAAGCTGAAGTGGCAGTGGGTCGGCCATATAGCTCGAAGAACCGACAACCGATGGGGAAGAAAGGTTCTCGAGTGGCAGCCTCGTACCGGTAGGCGAAGTGTAGGGCGTCCCCCCACGAGATGGAGTGACGACCTGGTAAGACATGCAGGAAGTCGATGGATGCAGGTGGCTCAGGACCGTGCTTTGTGGCATTCTTTGGGGGAGGCCTATGTTCAGCAGTGGACTTGTGAAGGGCTGTAATGATGATGATGAAAATGAAGAACCAGACTTTCACCAATCAGCTTCTGGACTCATAATAAAGATAAATACCGACTTGGCAATAGTTTGTATCTACCGCACACCATCAATAGACAATATAAATAGTTTTCTCTTAGTCCTTAATGACATTCTTCTGTCACTACGTATATTCAAATCTGTTGTCATAACAGGTGATTTAAATTTAGATATCAAACCCGATACGCTTGACTCGCGATCTCACGAATATTTGAATTGTCTTGCCTACCACGGCTATCTTCCTGCCCATACTCTTCCAACCAGGAGTAGCAATTGCTTGGATCATACGATCCTAAGAACAAAGTCTCCCACTCTTACTTTTGTGTATAGCTCCTCAGTAACTGATCACTGTTCCACATTACTTTGCATACACACTCAACATATACCAACGGCCTCAACTTCGTTCATCACCAGGATCGACTATAAGGGTCTTGACAAATCAGTATTACAACTGGACTTCACCCCTCTTTTTTCTATAAGAGATGTAAATATAGCTACCGATATTGTGATATTGATTCTGTTTCTGTTTCTGTTTCTGATAAATTCATTAAATTAGTAACTTCGGCCATTTCCGATAACACGACAGTAAAAAAAGTTCCTTCGAAAAAGAAAATTCTTAAACCTTGGATTACTCCTGGCTTATTACGGTGTATAAGAAATAGGGACGCTCTACATAAAAAAGTTAATAACTCTCCTGGTAACGACGTACTGAAAATTACCTACAAGAGATACAGAAATTTTTGTAATAGTATTTTGAAAAAAGCGAAGAGACTATATGATACACAGGAACTAAGTAAAGCAACTAATAACCCAAAAAAATTGTGGGATACTATAAAACGAGTAACGAACACCGTTAAAAGTAAAAACCCTTCTACACAATTACTAACTTTATTACCTTCACCTAAGCAGTCGTGCAATAGTGTAAATTCGTACTTTGTAAATATTGGAGAGAAACTCGCAAATGATATAATCAACTGCAGAACCTTTCAAACAACAACCTTCCCGCAAACCACATCTAACATCACATCTACTTCATCTTTTGTCCTAGATCCTACAGATCCTAATGAAATTATTTCAGTTATAGACTCCTTACGGTCTAATGCTGCTACTGGTTGGGATGGCATTTCGCCTTCCTTCCTAAAGACATACTCAACCACTCTGGCACCGATCTTATGCCATATATTTAATCTTTGTTTCGACACTGCTGTCTTTCCCACGTCACTTAAAAAGGCAATTATTCATTCAGTCTTCAAGGGAGGTGACGGGAACGTACCAAATAATTACCGTCCCATAGCGGTTCTCAGTACTCTATCAAAGGTTCTCGAAAGATTGATTAATAAAAGACTAGTTTCCTACCTCGAACATTATAATTTAACTTCTTCACAGCAGTTCGGCTTTCGCAAAAATAAATCGGCTAATGATGCAGTTCAAAGTTTAACCGATCATGTCGTTCAGAACTTGAATCAAAGCAAAAAGGTCCTAACTATATTTTTGGATCTCGCGAAAGCGTTTGACACCGTTCCTGTCTCGACTCTCTTACTCAAATTAGAAAAGGTAGGTGTCAGGGGATTGCAACTAGATCTCTTTCAAAGTTACCTCACAAATCGCTCCCAGACAGTCAGGATTGCTGATCACTATAGTGATGACCTCCCAGTCTATTACGGCGTACCACAAGGAAGTATATTA